TATATGGTAGGATGAAATACCCCGTGAAATACCGCAAAGTTATGGCAAGCTGTAACTTATGGCGTTATGGTGACAGATGTATAATAATAGGTTTTAATACACTAAAATTGGCAGACTCCACTTAGGGATTGGAAAAAAAAAACGTGGAGAGGCATATAAAAGTCAAAAAAACACCATTTCTATTGACGCACAAAACCACATTTGTCGCAAACACACAAAAGCAAATATTAAACCTTGTCTGAAGTTATTATTATGTCATCCCGAAGAATCAGCAATTATATAGCTTGTTATGAAACAATTATGTACATTGTAAGCATTATGAAATTAATACGTACCCGTAACAATTACAGTAACACTATGAAATAAATACCTATCTAGTTAGGATTACACCATTATAATGCATACGAACGATGTAATAATTGCACTATAATGTAATGAATACGTATATTTCATTATGAAATTAATTCGTACCATGTAACGATTACACTTTTATGTAATAAATAGTACTTTGAAACAATTGCACTATGGTAATAAATACGTACTATAAGGTTATTACGAAGATACCTCAAAGTATGCACAAAGACAGTACAGAGGCAGTATCGACTGACGTGCAGTGGAGGTCAATGTGACAGCGTACTGTCTGGGTGCATATTTTGAAATATCTTCGTAATAACCTTATTATTATACATCTTTTCCTACTAAGTATACATGATGGGTATGCCATAATCTAAAAAGTGTAGAACAAAATCGAACTTCTTTGTATGGAGTCTGGTCAATTCCTCGTGGCAGCCATGTTTGTTTTTATTATTAGAGGACGCATATGCGCGTAATCATTCCATATATGGAATTTGCATTTCCTAATATGGTAGGATGAAAATACCACGTAAAATACCACACACTGTAACTTATGGCATTACGGTGAGACATGTATAATAATAATTATTACATACGAAATGGATATGCACATTGTAACTATTACACTATTATGAAACGAATGCTATTTTTACTCGGTACTTCGCTACAAAATGAATATATATTTAGTATTGATTACATTATTAAATAAATAATCACATATGAATGAAGGGGGTTCAGTTTATTTTAGCTTTATTTTAGTCTTATTTTTATTTTATATGTTGCTGTTTTGGTGTTCGGAATAATATGGCGATGACAGTAAGCTTTATTCTAGTTTTATCTATCTTATTTGTATTTATTATAGTCTTTTAGCTATTTTATTATTTTTATTTTAGCTTAATACTGTAATGCATTGTTTTACTTTTTGTATTTGTCTTTTATTTACCATACTGAACCCAAGGATGGTTTGGTAGTGTAATAAAGTTATTATTATTATTATTATGAAAACAAATACTGTGAAATCCACAAACATAGATCTTTGTTTTTAAATAAGTGTATGTCCAATGGAAAAATAACAAAACGTACCGTATTGTAAGGTGTTATATAATGTAACATAATATGGGAATTTTGGAAATGTGTTAATGATCAAAGTTGTATCACTCAAAGTTGTATATTCTCAAATTTAGAAGTCATTTAATCAATCTGATTTTTGTTTATACTAGTAGGTTAGATTATTTACTCTCAATTACTAACCATACACTAAAAATTCATTCAGACACACTTTACCTTTTCACATGACCAGTACTATATATCCAATTTGATTGCATATATCATGCATTTAGTATGGTGATATCAAGCAGTTTGTGGCAACAGACAATAGAACATCCATCTTGCTTTCGGGCCATACTGTAAAATTCTTTATTTTCGCTTGGAATTAATTTTTGCTATTTTCGCTGACGGAATGATTCAGTGTAAATAAAATCCAGCAAATATACCTTTTTAGTTCTTGTTCGGACCCAGTCAGGGACTTATGTTTTGACATGTGTGTGTGTGTGTGTGTGTGTGTGTGTGTGTGTGCGTGCATCCGTGCATCCGGACTTGTATCTTAGACATGCCTGGACCAATCACAATCAAACTTCACACATACATCATACATAATATTATACATATGCACATCAATTTGTTTCACAATCTGATTGTGCTAAAAAAATCATCAAAATCAAGCATTTATGGATGGATTTTGTTTCAACATACATTGGACATTATGGGGCCTTGATTCACATCATTTTATTTTTCAGATTGAATTGAGAATGGCTGATTGGCGGATATTTTGTATTAATGAATGCAGTTCTGGTGCCATATCTCTGCCATGCTTTGACTGATTATGATCAAATTTTATATATTCATTATACCCCATGACATAGATATAGTGGTTTGACTATAAAATTGTAAAATGGCAGCCATTTTAGTGCCAACAAATCTTCAAAAATTAAGCATTTCTGACATTCCAGAACTGAATCTTAGCGTTTATGGATGTATTTTTTTTTAAACTTTGTACATACGAGTTGGACATTACGACTTTGATGCACATCATTTTATTTTTCAGATCCAATTTAAAATGGCCGACTGGCAGACATTTTGTTTTAATGAATGCAGTTCTAGTGCCATATCTCTTCCATGCTTTGACTGATTATAATCAAATTTTATATATTCATTATACCCCATGACATAGACATATTATTTTAAATATCATATTCAAAATGGCCAAATGGCAGCCATTTTTGTGTACTAAATAATCTTCAAAAATCAAGCATTTCTGGCATTCCAGAACTGGATCTTGGAGTTTATGGATGGATTTTTTTCAAACTTGGTACTTACGTTGGACGTTATGGGACCTTGATGCACATCATTTTATTTTTCAGATTGAATTAAAAATGGCTGATTGGCGGCCATTTTGTTTTAATGAATGGGCTTCTAGTGCCATATCTCTGACAGGCTTGACTGATTATAATCAAATTTTATATATTCATTATACAACATGTTATAGATATACACATGTATTTAAAATGGCTGATTTTGTTTTAATTAAGGCTGTTCCAGAGCAATATCTCTCAATGTTGACAAGTACTCATTTGACGATCAGATACAAATGTCAATCATTTTAATGTTAAACAATCATCATAAACATATTCCTGACATGGTTATATTCCAGCTATATTACTATAAACAAAACTATCTTAAATTCCATAACTAACAGGGACTGTGCCATGCATAACTTGTTTACTTTATCATTACCACTATCAATTGAACTATTAACCTTCATATTCAAGTTCAGCTTGACTTTGAATAAGCATACACACAAAAAAAGTTAAATGAAATATTTCAGTAACTATTATGCAAGAAACATGTTTAGAAAATGTTATTTTTATATTTAGAGTCTATGAATTCTTTTTTACATTATTGCTGTTAAGAATTACTACAGTACGGAAATTATCACTGACACCCAGTTACATAATTTATGGTTCCACTCATTTGAAGCTGCTGGTTTAGTTTCAGAAAAATAATCTCTGTTTCATATGGTACGATTGCAAGTAGTATGATTCACTGAATATATCCTTGGATATCCCAATCTAATTTACATATGAATAGATGAGCTGATCCATTTGGACCAATGTAGTGTTAGGGTATAAGCTGACTACTGATTTTATTGAGCACGCTCACATAGAGTGCTTTTGGATGATACCATTTATTATTTGGGGGTAGAAACACAGCAGTGCATGTTTTTAAAAAACATTAATTGTTACTTCTGTTTGCCTCGTTGGTTTTGTTTCATGTGGTTTACCCTCAAACTTAATTAGGGGAATGAAGTTTATGTTCTTTTAGCTGAGAGGTAAATATTTAAATAACCCTACACTAGCAGTTGAGAGAAGAGAATGGAATATTCCGATCTCCATTTCAGACACAGGAGTTGAAATCATGTGATTTGTTCATGCTCACTCTCAGTGTGTCATCAAGGTATCTGCTTAATATTCATAAGCTCAGTGGTCTGATGTTTTGCATAAATTTGGCCATTAACATATCAGGCACTCAGTTGCCTTGTGTTGTGTCTGAAGTCGGTTCTATCTGTATTTCTAATCTCTAGTCTTATTTATTCTTCACCAGCATGAATGATATTTACAGGTAATTCAATTTTTTTAGTGCAATGTAACATTGTCATTTAGTTTTCTGTGTATAGATTAATTAATAATGTGTTAGTAATGTCTTAATATTAGGCTAGAAAATTGACTACTGAAGCCCCCTTACATGTAATGGGTACGTGATTACTGTGAAAATATTTGTTTATTGCATCATGTTAGTTTAATAGAATACATTCATTTTATAAATTTTGTACTGAGTTAGTGTAGAATTGTTCATTTTGTGTCAGAATATTTTCTGATTTGTTTTGACGATTTTATTCAGTAATTTATTTATTTTCATAGTACATACATGTATACATCTGTAATGTGTGTGTATTGCAAAGCTGCAATTACAGTAATTACTGTAACTAAAGCAAGAGTTTGGGGTTGGGACAACTAGTTGTCTGTCTAGATAATATTTCATCATAAACCCAATTTTTTAATCTTTAATTTACTGAGTAGTTACAAATTTGATTTAGCTGCATACTTTTTTAGCAGATACACCTTATTTATATCAGAGAATATTGTACAAGGTAGAGTAGTGATATCACTTTTGAATTATATAAGTGGAGATAGAGTAGTGATGGCAATGTTGAAAATGAGGGAGGAGGAAGTTTTATCACTGTTGAAAATGATGAGAAAAAATAATCTTGTGAAACAGTAGTACATATAAAGATAAACATTCAGATAGAAATAAAAACTGCCACTCCTTTGCATCTAATCTGGGACCTAGAAACCGTTGCATTAAGATCCCAGGCTCCTTTTATTTTGCTATTTTATCCAATATTCCTAGCTATATCACTGTTATTGCCCATTTGCTGCTGATAATGCTAGTTATGAGGTTTTTCCAATAGTGATAGAAATAGTAATATAGTAAATGAGAGAAGTAGCCATGTTGAACACTTTTGCCAGCATGGAGATGGCTCAGCCAACACTTTTGCAAACATTGAGATGGCTCAGCCAACACTTTTGCCACCATGGAAATGGCTCAGCCAACACTTTTGTCAGCATGGATGGCTCAGCCAACACTTTTGCCGGCGTGGAGATGGCTCAGCCAACACTTTTGCCAGCGTGGAGATGGCTCAGCCAACACTTTTGCCAGCGTGGAGATGGCTCAGCCAACACTTTTGCCAGCGCGGAGATGGCTCAGCCAAC